CTTCCCCAAAACCCCAAAACCCCAAAACCCCAAAACCCCAAAACCCCAAAAAATCCCTAAAAATTTAAACCATCACACAAAAATGAACCGCGTATTCCCTACCACAGGTACTAGCCAGCCCCCTTGGGGCTGGGCAAGAGAGATTATCATGAACAAAGAAGGTGGGTTTTGGGGAGTTTAGAGGAAGAGGGCGGGTTATGGGGGTTATTAGGAGGGAGGAAGAAGGAGTTATAGGGGATTTAGGAGGAGGAATTGAGTGAGGAGAGGGGAAGAGACCGGTGAAAGTGTATGATTATGGTGCAAGGGAGAGGATAGAGCAGGTGTGAGGGAAAGAAGGTAGGTGAAAGGGAGGAAAAGGGGGTGTGGTGGGGAGAGGGATTTTGGGAGGGTATAAAGCGAGTTTTAAAGAATTGTAGCTTTGATTTGGGAATTTTTAAATATATATTTTTGTGGAATTGTGTAGTTTTGGAAATTTTAAAATTTTTAATTTTTTACATTAAAAATTTTCATTAGTAATGTAATTTTTGATTTTATAGGTCGAGACAGAACAATAAATTTAAGCCAAACTTGCAATAAAGTATTGTTTGAGAGAGCAAGTGCTTCTCTCTCAAAAAGAGGCCATAATGTATCAACCTCATCAGTGGGAAAAACAAATTACTCAAGTGGAAAAGGAGCCTGAAACGATTCTAGGAGTAATTACTTAGATAGCTCAATTCGTGGCTACACTCAAACAACTCAATACCCTCCTTCAAGAGAGAAAAAGAATGATTATAGATCATTTTTAGAATCTGAGAAGAACATGGCAAATGATTACCATCAAATCTCCGGTGGTAGCCAGTTTGAAGCTTCATTCACCTCAGATGAAAGTTTCTCAGGGATTGACACCTCTTACTTACGAATCCAAAACATCTCTTTGCTGTCTCATAATGACTCGCTTGGACAATCTCAGAAGGATATTTCAAATCAAAAAGAGAGACTGAGTAATTAAGTTGATTATCTTTAGAAGCTAATCCAGATATTTTGAATCAGCCACAGTCTTGTCAGAACAAACAGACATCAGCCTTTATAGAATTTAAAAAAGAGAAGAAGGAAAAATGAAAGAGACCAGATCAAAGATCTCCCTCAGAAGTAGGCCCAGATGAAGCAAACGAGGGTATTGAACTCCTAGTCAAAAACCGTCAGAGAATGAATTCCAGTGTGCTCAGATCCAATAATTACAAGAAGCTATCAATGTCTTCATACCAAGAAGGCCAGTCTACAGTTTCTCCAGTGAATTTTTTATGTCAGCGTATTCTTCCCAAGGATAAGCGTCCTCAAAATAAGAATAATTGAGGGGTTGAATCCGTTCTACAACCTTCACAGAGACGGCTAGAGAATTATCAGAGCTTCTCTCAAATCAAAAATTCAAGGAACAATCCTCGTCCTTCCTTGACAAGGTGAGCTTCCCAAAGAAAATGAGAGAGTCAAGAGATCAAAGGTAAGCTTTACATTCTTTAATCTGTTATTTTTGTCTCAATCATCTTATAGTTCGTAATGAAAGCGAGAGGGAGGCTGGCAAAAGAGTTCTATCAGTGTGAAACTCATACAAAGCAGGCTTAGATCAGGTTCCTAAAGATATCCCGAGAGGGCCTAGTGCTGTAAGTTAAGAGAAAGTTAGTTCTATAGAGAATTCCAAGAAATACTGGACAAATTCATGCAAAATCCAGAAGTAATTGCCCTCATAACCGGAATCGTATTAACAGACCTTTGGTCTCAAGATGAAATTCTCAGGTTGATAGTATGAATGGGACCAATCGGTCTGTAGGTAGTCGTCAGGACTCAATGTCCCGTAAAGCCGATTTCTCAAAATTAAAATCAAAGGAAATAGATGATGATGTTGAATCAGAGTCTTCCTTTACCTCTACAGAGAGCCAAGTGAGCCTTAACGTTCATAGATACGATGAGCTAATTAGTTTCAGACAAGACCGTCAGGAAATTCCTGAATGAGATCAGCCACATGTTGAAGAATCAATGATTAAAGATAGTATATTGAACACCGAAGATTGTCAAAGTGAATCCTCGTATAAATCTGTAAGTAGCTCTGATATTGATCTTGAGGGTATCCATCAAAAATATGATACCTTAAAATTCAGAAAAAATGGATATCTTTGGAAGAGGTTAAATGACTTGAGAACTCGATTTCCTTAATACAACCTCTAAAAATGAATATTATTTTAATTTTTAATTTTCAAAATTTCAACTTTTTAGCATCTTCGAGGGGTTTTGGGGTTTTGGGGTTTTGGGGTTTTGGGG